TTTTTTTTTTTTGAGACAGGTTCTCATTATGTATTCCAGGTTTTCCTTGAATTCCTGGTGATCCTTCTGCCTCAGCCTCCTTAGTGTTGGGATTAGAGGCATGTGCCACCACACTTGGCATGATTCTCCTTTCAATTCTTTTATGTTAGAGATTGCAAAGTAAATGGTTCATATTCAGCTCTGGAGTCCATTGCTTAAATTAAAAAGACCGTCACACTCCTTCTCTGGGGTTTGACGTTGGGCACATTACTTAACTTTTTGTGCATCAGGTTCTTTTGTTCTGAGGAATGGGAACTGTAATAGGAACTGCGCAAAGGAAAGACTTAGAATTTTATCTAGCGCTGAGGAAGCACCAATAAATGTTAGCAGCTGTGATTTCAATGCTTCTAATGAAAGAAATATCATTTAGCTAGAGTATACAGCACAAGCTTAGAAAATGACCTATGTTACTAGTTGCATCTGATTTTATTAGTGGCAAATAGGCATGGGCAATGGATTCAGAGATATCACACCTTTCTGCACATGTTGTAAAAACCAAGGCTTGGCAGGGATTTTGCTAAGCACTTCTGTGAAAAGACCGCAGCTGCATCTATCGGACACAACCACATCTGTTGATGGGATTCTATCCTTTAAATTGAGAGGGTTAGACCAAATCTTATGCTAACTGAAAAGATTCTATTTAGAGAAAATACAGGAAACAAATGAATTCATCAAGGTGGAAAGTAGCTTCGGGGCTGCTGAGCTGGCAGGTGGGGACAGGGAGGACAAGAGGGAGGGAAGACTGATGGATAAGAAATTTCTTTTGGGGGTGATGCATAAGTTTTGGAATTAGAACTTGGTGATAGCTACACATTTTAGGTACAGGCAAGACTTCTATGGTCTGTGAATTGTATCTCACGAAAGCTGTCATCAATTAACTCCTCAGGGGGTAAAAAAGCAAACATCCCAAACCCAAAAGCCCACCCAGAAACAAACAATAAAAAAAACTCTGAACAACACCTCCCAAACACCGGGGAGATGGCTCAGTAGAGTAAGCGCTTGCCTGGCAAGCACAAGGGCCTGAGTTCAATCCGCGGTTCCGCCAAAAAAACCAAAAACAATTCAGACCTCTTCTAAGCAGGGGAAGCTTTCGGGCAGGTCGGAATCCACAGGTGGGGTCAAAGTCTCCGCAGCAGGAGCACGAGCTCCGGGTCCCCTGGGGCTCCCAATTCTACCCCGCACGCCTGGGGTTTTTCTGTGCTCCCTCAGCCACATTACCTGTAAGCCCCAATGGGCTTCGGGGCTTTCGCCGAGTAGATCATCTTTTTGATCAGGGACGTCATAGCTAACCCTGGTCAGTCGGTGAAAACTGTCAATTGCAGCGGAGATGGGCCCCGCTTCACCCACCCAGCTCCCGGAGAGGCTCCGCCCACCGCCAGGCATTCTGGGAACTGTAGTCTGCGTGCGACTCCGAGCCACGTGCAACCGGCGGCCCGGGCTGCGCGTGCGTCATTGCGTTCGTTTGCCGCGCCGGTAGCCTCGGAGGGACTGTCACTGTCTTGTCATTCTGGCCCGGGGAACCCTGAGAACGTCTGGCAGGTAAGCCATGAAGTGCTGGTTCCCGTCGGGATCCGCGAGTTTGAGGACACCCTGTGTGTGGCGGCCCAGCGCGTGGTCTCTCAGATCGCTGACCTTTGGTTTTCGCCGCCCGCGCCCCGGACCCCTCTTCCCGGTCCCGAACCTTCTTCGGTGTCGTGCAGTTGAGCCCCTAGGTCTGTCATGTCCCCTCAGTGCCCCGCAGGACGGAAGCCGTCCTGGGAAGAGGCTTGCCCCTGCCCGCCACCCTAAGGGAACTCGATGGCTCCTTGGGGCACCGCGCCGAGGCCGGGGCGTTGTCCTCCTACCCGCCCCTCCCGCGTTCTGGCCTCTGGGGCGCTCCTCGCGCATTGCAAGGTCTCCTTGGTCCGGCCCGAGCCTTCGCACTGGGATGTGATTTCCAAAGGAAAGCGTGATATTGATCCACATAATAGCCTCAGAGCGGTCTCTGGGCAGGTCGTGCTGTATCAGAAGGGCTGAATATCATTTATCCTTTTAATATGTGCTTTATAGGCCCGCACCACTTCTTCATTTGTGCGTGCGTGCTTGCATTCAGCAACTACTGAGCCCCTACATTATGCATGGCTGTGTACTGGTGATACAATAAAGAGAAAAGATCTTTGTTTTCCCTGCTTCCAAAACGTGCTGTGAGAATCCCTTTGATCGCCTCTCATTTTGAAATGATAAAACTTTGCTTTTTTACTTCTGGCTGAAGAATTTTTAGTGATCTTTTTCGGGTTTAGGGCACTATCTTGGAACAAAAATTCTTTCAGCCTGGTCTCCTTTAGCCTGTTTTGTTCTGTTCTTTTCTTTAGACCCTCTTTAGTCATTCTAGAGTCCTCATCCCTGTTTATAATTAAGTTCTCAAAATTTTTACTTTCCTTTCTGCCTAAATTTTAAACA